TGTGTGTGTGTGTGTGTGTGGTTTTTTTAGATTAAACTTTTACTGTTTTTTTGGCCAACAGTTTTTTTTTCTTGATTTTAGTTTAAGTCTGGTCGTGATATATAGTTATAATGCTTAGTTTAGAGCAAATCTTGGTTTTTAAATGAACCCTCTGATCCCCAAAACCTGCCTGCGAGTTTGAAAGTTATATATATAAATTAAACCATTTATCAGAGCCAGAAAGTGTAAAAACTGAAAGAATTGTCAGAGCAGTCCCATTGGGAAATAGGAACTTAAAATTGTGATATTTCACCAAAATTAATTTACTTTGTCATTTTAAAGCTTCAGCAAAAACAAGTTGGATCCTGTTAAAAACCAACCACACCTTAATGCAACAGAGGAGGCCTCCAGTGACTCAGCTGTCACCAGCAGTTATGTGACAAAATGGGATTTTTCAGCTAAATGCATCTGAACTGCAGGTTGTGTTTCACAGAGCATGTAGGAGACAAAGAGACACAAAGTGCTGTTGACTGATTAGATTCTGCAGAATATACTATTTTCAGTTTTGTTGTCTGATATAAGGGAGTTTTTGTCATGTCTTTCATTTGTTCATCTTACTGGTTTGAAAGTGGGTGGGACTCATTTAAGAAAAAGTGACATCGCTTAATCTCATGCAGCCAATCAGAATTGAGCATGATTGGAATCACATGACAGCCGGTGGGTTGATTTATCACTGCTAATCTAATCTGATCAAATGTGGTGAAAACAGCAAAGACAGAAATCACATAATTAGGCTGTTTTAACTTTGGTAGAAAAATTCAAGCTCATGTTGGACCTCCATCAGTTACAGTGAAAAACTACTCAACACATTTGCATTTAGGTTCTTGATGTTCATTGTTTAGTTTCAACTCTAACCTGAACTGAAATGTCATCTTTGTCCCCCCTGTAGGTACAAGCTGGGTTTATTCTGTCTATCCTCCAAACTACTCACCTGGAACAGACCGATACTGCCACCAGATCACCTACCTGTTTGCCTTTGTCGTCACTACCATCCTGTGGGTGGCTACAATGCTCATGTTCATTGGCGGTTGTTGCTTCGCTCTGACGATCTGCTGTAAGACTGTAGGTGCCAGACGCTACCTGATACCCCCTCGCAGCAGTTTCTACGGTGCCACAAGTGATGCTAACGAAGCCACTGCTGGTGATGTGTGATGTCCAGCCTGCTTCACGTTTATTGGAATGAATTCATGTCTAAGCTGGAGTGAAAATGTCTGACCATAACGACAAAATTAAAGTTATTCACAAAGTATAGAAGAGCAGGGCAGCTGCAAGCACAATTATTTAATAAAGAAATCTTGTAAGTGCTTGAATAAAAGGCAGCTTATTCACTTGAGATGTGTTGAACATTTTTACAACAGTTAAATGTTTATTTTGTGTCACAGCATCACCTGAATTCAACCTTAGTTATTCTTCACAGGTCAAAATAGCCACTTCTAAGAGCTGCAGAAAAAAACTGAGCCAAATAAAATGTTCCGGTGGCAGCATTATATTGATTTAATATTGCGATGGATAACAAATTATTGTTGGTAATGTGTTTTAATATTCAACTCTTTTATGTGTCTACTTGAACCAGATAGTGAGGGGGAGAGTAAAGTTGATTGAATAAATCTCATATGCTTTGCAAATCTGTAAATGTAAGTTTTTTTCTTAAAACATACTTTCATCTGACAGCCTTTTTAAATAATGTGTTTGCTTTTCTAACCCTGTATTGTTTTTAGCTTTTAAATTCTGATCATTTTATGACATGTCTGTTTAATTTGTTGCATTGTGAAGCACTTGGTAACTTGGATTTTTTTTTTCACTCTGTCATAAGTTACAATGTATGTTCATACATGCAATATATGTACAGTATTTCTGTACTAGTCACCTTAAAAAAAATAAGTTAAATTAAAAAAAAAAAAAAAAAACCCCTCCGCTGTACCTCTGTCTTGCCATTGATATTACCTGATCGAATAAAAGTTTTTTGGTTTATATTCATGTTTATACATATATTAAAGGCCTGATTTTTTTGTTGATCGCCATTTTAGAACTAAAACAGATGTCTATAATTTTACGTACACGTTTAGAGATTATCGCGCACCAAAGCTTTTAATGCAGGCATTTCTCGGGTCTACTATGCAGGCGGTGGGGTCCTGTTACGTCACACAACAAGCGACCACAGCTAGTTAGCCTTTAGCTAACATACATGCTGGAAGCTGTACGTTATTGGCTGCAGTGAAGAGTTTTTAAGATAAGTTGATGTTTGCGGCGCTGAAACAAGCCCGGTTTTAGTCCTCTGGATGGTTTGTTGTGAGTTAAAGTGTTGAAGCTTTTTTTTTTTGGATGAACATGTGGAGCTCCGGCCGTCGTGTCCTTCAGGAGCTGCTCAGCCAGCCGGCTGTCCGGAGCTTCTCTCTGAGTCCAGTTCAGGTCGGTGTCTCTGCAGCAAACTCACTCATAATGAGGCAGAGTGTCATAGTTTGAAGCTTTGGCTCTGACTCAGGAGTCTTTCAATCCTCTACAAAAAATGTCATTAGAAAGCACTCGAAATCGTGTTGATTTAAGTATACACTTATCTATACGTGGCTGAGTTAGCTTCTGATTTGGTGGTTGAGGGAAAATATGTCGAAAAAAGCAGTGAAATCTCCCTGTTTGCATTTTCATAACTAGAATAAATGTTTTGCAAAACGTGTATTTCAGCGTAGTCCACATTTGACCAGTCTATATACAGTGGTTTTACACACGTGGACAAAATAGTTGGTAGCCCTCGGTTAATGAAAGAAAAACCCACAATGGTCACAGAAATAACTTGAATCTGACAAAAGTCATAATAAATTTTAAAAAATCAATGAAAATTAACCAAGGAAAATAAGACATTATCTTTGAACCGTGGTTCAACAGAATTATTTTAATAAATAAACTCATGAAACAGGCCTGGACTAAAATGATGGTACCCCTATAAAAGACTGAAAGTGATGTGACCATAGGGACATGTTCAATCAAGGTGTGTCCTCTAATTAGCATCACAGGTGTCTACAAACTTGTAATCATTCAGTTGTCCTATTTATAAGGTTACAAGTAGTCACTGTGCTGTTTGGTGACATGGTGTGTACCACACTAAACATGGACCAGAGGAAGCCAAGGAGAGAGTTGTCTCAGGAGATTGGAAAGAAAATGATAGAGCAGCATGTTAAAGGTAAAGGCTATAAGACCATCTCCAAGCAGCTTGATGTTCCTGTGACTACAGTTGCACATATTATTCAGAAATGTAAGATCCATGGGACTGTAGCCGACCTCCCTGGACGTGGCTGCAGGAGGAAAACTGATGACAAATGGAAGAGACGGATAACAGGATTGGTAACAAAAGAGCCCAGAACAACCTCTAAAGACATTAAAGGTGAACTCCAAGGTCAAGGTCCATCAGTGTCAGATCACACCATCCGTCGCTGTTTGAGCCAAAGTGGACTTCATGGGAGATGACCAAGGAGGACACCATTGTTGAAAACAAATCATAAAAAAGGCAGACTGGACTTTGCCAAACTGCATGTTGACGATGAAGCATATGAAGAACAGAACGCTGTCCCTACTGTGAAACATGGAGGAGGCTCTGTTATGTTCTGGGGCTGCTTTGCTGAATCTGGCTCAGGGTGTCAGAATCTGTGCAGGGTCCAATGACATCTCAAGACTGTCAGGGTGTTCTAGAGAGAAATGTGCTGCCCAGTGTCAGGAAGCTTGGTCTCAGTCACAGGTCATGGGTCTTACAACAGGATAATGACCCAAAACACACACGGCTAGAAGCACCCAAGAATGGCTCAGAGGAAAACACTGGACTATTCTGAAGTGGCCTTCTATGAGCCCTGATCTAAATCCTATTGAACGTCTGTGGAAGGAGCTGAAACATGGCGTCTGGAGAAGGCACCCTTCAAACCTGAGACACCTGGAGCAGTCTGCTCATGAGGAGTGGGCCAAAATACCTGCTGAGAGGTGCACAAGCTCACTGACAGTTACAGAAATTGTTTCATTGCAGTGATCGCCTCAAAAGGTTGTGCAACAAAATCTTCAGTTAAGGGTACCATCATTTTAGTCCAGGCCTGTTTCATGAGTTTATTTTTTAAAATAATTCTGTTGAACCACAGTTCAAAAGCAACGTCTGATTTTCATTCATTTTTATTTATTATTACTTTTGTCAGATTCAAGTTATTTTGGTGACCATCGTGGGTTTTTCTTTCATTAACTGAGGGGTACCAACTATTTTGTCCACGTGTGTAGGTCTGGACCTGGTCTAATGTTGTGTACCTGCGAAAAACAGCTTCTCTCTTCTTCTTTTTTTTCCTTCATCTTCATAATTATGAGAAAGGATTCATAAATCAGACACTTAAATACCTGTCAACAGGTGCAGAAGTCTGACTGAGAGTTACAGAAACCACCTGATAGCAGTGATTGGCTCAAAGGGTTGTTCAACTAAACATTTGTTTACGGGTCCCATCATGCTTGTTTGTTTGTTTGTTTTTTTCCGTCTTTAATGGGAGGGTATGAATACATCTGAGGACGACTTACTCAGAGGTGGTCACTGTGTTTAAGTATTTAGATATAAATGGTTGAGTCCTAACACCCACGTAGCGTTCTCACTGCATCCTTTCTTTAGCCAGAGAGCAATAAGCACAGTGCTATTAAACCATTAACACAAGCTGTGAAACCATCTCTGGTCGCTTGATGTTTCCACAGAACACTGTTGTGGTGGAGCGATGGTGGCAGGTGCCTTTGTCCAAAGTCGGCAGCCCGCCGAGGCTTCACCCTCGACGACACAGAGTCTACAAGATGGTTGAAGACACCAAAAACGCTCCAAAGGAGAAGATGGAGCTCATCCTAACTCAGACCGTCAACAGTGAGTATCACCAGGGCACTCGGTGGTTTTACAGTTGTCCCAGGAAGGAAAAAGTATGAAAGTATTTCTCGTGACAGGGCTCGGCGGGCGAGGAGACACTGTGTTTGTGAAGAAGTCACTTGGACGAAATAAGTTGCTGCCCGATGGCCTGGCTGTGTATCCGTCACCAGAGAACAAAGCCATGTTTGCTGAGGAGTTACGGGTGTGTGCTGCATTTCAATTCTGATGTTTATTCCCCACATCTTGGGGAGCATTGCATTCATCATTGTCCCCCTTTTTTTATGTGCAGCTTTTGCATGCGGGATTGTCACAGGGCAGACCCCAAACCCGCACCGGGCAAATGGTGAGTTTTTATCAGCTGAAAATTGTTTCAGGATTTTTTTCCTCACTGCTTAGGTCCTATGGTTGAGTCACAGATGGTAGGTACTAATAGTGTGAGTTTTTAACAAAGCTTTCTTGCTGTTTTTGCAGACAGTGGAGTTCCTTAAACGCTCCACTCTGAAGATCTATAAAATGCCCTCTGAACACTTCCAGGTCAATAAAGAAGTCGTCCGCAGACAATTTGCCAAGAGGGTACGGCTGGTTTGGCTTCAGTGCTTTTATTCTCATTTTCTTTTCTAATAAAATATTAGTGATTCTGCTGAGCACAAATGCTTTGTTGTGTTTGATAATCCTTTAGTTGGGAGTCGTTATGCCGCCTCATGCTCTGAGTGTTCCATTTGAGTCAGTGACGGAGTTGGGAGACTACTGGTGTGAAGTTACGGTAAGAAGTTTTTATTAAATTGGTGAATGAATCGCATCGATTACAATCAGACGTTTGCAGCAAATGAAGCTACCTTTCATATCCATGTCAGTAAAACTGGTAAACATGTTTAGGAATAATTGCAGATTTGTTTTTGCAGAATGCAGTAGCTACAGAAACTTGTTTTTTTGTTTTTTTTCAGTAGTTTGACATGAAGGGCAAAAAGCAGCTCTTCATGTCACGTTAAACTGCTGGTTGGAACAAAGCTCCTTTTATTTTTCATTCAGAATTTAATTTACAGCACAATCGTGCAAAAAAGTTCTCAGCGGCTGTACCATGCAGGTGTTCATAACTACACAAGAGACACTGAGGGACATTGAAATCATTGATTAGAGTAAAAAAAAAAAGTCTACTGATGCGATGCTAGCTATGACTTTTAGTGCTGATATGAGTAATAATTGTTTTTATATCATTTTTATGATTTTTTTTTAAATGAAATTGATCCTATAGGAGAACAGTTGTCTCCTTTAAAAGCATACGTCTCTGCTATATGCATACCAAGGGACCCTATTCAACAATAAAAATACTCCCAAGGCTTTAATCTGTTTCTCTATGACTTTCATTTGCCCTGAAATGTTGAGTCTTAGACTACTGTGCTCCAAAATTGAAGGTTTGTGCAGCTTTGTTGATCAGTGTGTCAGGTGACCAGCTCAAAGTGGTTTTTGGAGACCAGAAATTCTAACCTGCTCTGAAATGCACAAATTTGTCTCCATGGGCTTTTATTTGACATTAAAATGTAGCCACGAGTCTTTTTTTTCTCCCCCCACAAAGTGAATATGTAACTCAAACAGGCGTTGGTATTTTTGATTCAGGCTTTAATGGAGGAAACTCACTGTGGAGCTCTCATCCACTGCAACAGAACCTGCCTGCAGACTTTCTCCTCAGTCACTCAATAGGATGCATTTATTAGCCTGAAATTGACCTCTTATGTCCGACTGCTTTCCTTCCACTAGTTGCATTTTCAAAATCCACTTCACTACACAAAGCAGCAACAACCTCCAAGCAGCACCTTCTACATGAAAAATTTCTAGTTTGTTCCACCTAAACATTTCCATCACTACACTGAAGCCGCATCCATCCCCTTTGCCTCACTTTAGGAAACACAAACCAGCCAGGACGTTTCTCCGCCTACAGCAGAATAGTAATCGGCTGCATCTGCACGCCACTTATTTCTCACACCCTTGTTCTTCTTCCAGGTTAACGGAATAGACACAGTTCGCGTTCCCATATCGCTGGTGCCGTATGAAGACTTGTCTGCGAACCATCAAAGGATGCTGAGACAACAAAGGCGGCAGCAGAAGGAGGCCGAGGCAGCTGCTGCAGAAGCTGCTGAGGAGCAGGGGGAGGAGGTTGTTTTAAAGGCTGAAGCAGCAGCAGCAGCAG